AGGATCACAATTTGAATATAGCAATGTTATCAAATTCTTCGGCCTCTTCAGCCGAAGCCTTAAGGCTTTTGGCATGAATCAAAGAGAAGCGAAGCTTGGTGTTGCCGTTTCGGTCAAATTCAGACTGTTTTGTGCTATTTTCATCAAATTCAAACTGCTTTCGGTATGCTTTGAGTCTACTTCGGCCAACAAAAAAAATAGCTATATAAATTTATTTTTTTTATTTTTTTCATTATTTGTATATATTTTATATATAAATATCTAATTTATTTATACTAAATTTTTAAAAATAAAATAAAAAATTAAAAATACCGAATTGTTTCATTTTTCTCACCAAACCGAAAAAAACTTTCAAACGAATCGGACAACATTGGAATATTTCCATCATATTGTATTAGAATTCCAATTTCAATCCACGTAATCAATTTGAATGCCAATTTGAGTAGAGTACGTACTCAACGTAGTAATTCCCTCATATTGTATTAAAACTCCAATTTGAGTACAGACTCCAGTACTCGAAACTCCAATTTGAGTACTACTCGAATGTAAACCTCCATTACACATACCTTGAATGGCATTTTATTAAAACTACGCAGCGACTCCACACTTATAAAGTTGTGACATTTTTATTAACACTGTATAATGATGAGAAATAGAGTATTTGTGTATATTTGAGCCTTAAGCCTTTGTGAAAGATGTATTTCAAAGCTTATCAAAGAAAATAACATATGCAATGAACCACCTTACTAATATGAGTATACATAAAAATAAAAAAAATATTGTACTTAAAAATAAGTGTAAGTTTTTATAGTTTGCACATCTATCACACTTAAAAAAAATTGGATGATGCTACAACATTTTATTAAAACTATGTAGTGACTCCATACACTCTAATATATTGACTTCCATCATACACTCATAAAAAGTTGGAATAGATTTATTATAACTCGAGAGCAATGATATTTTTATTAAAACCCCATAGCAGGCCAACGATTATACATTTTTTAAGGGTGTGTTTTTTACAAGTATTAACTTTAAACAATCACCAAAAGGGTAGGGTTCAAATCCCCATTGACATCATTTTTTTTTTTTTTAGAAAGGGGCTGGGGTTGTGGTGGTTGGGGTTGGGGTGGTAGTACCTTACACTTTAGTCACAACGTTCCCACCCCTATCACCACCCCACTAATACTTTCAAAATTCCCATCCCTATCACCACCCCACTAATACCTTTAAAAAGCTAATTCCTAATCTACTTGATAAAACGAGAAGGGCATGTCTTCCCCACTGAATTACCCAAAAAAACCATAAACAATCAAAAAAAAGTCGCACCTCCAAAATTTGTGAAAATCTTTACAATGGCTTAGAAAAATTATTTTCATCCCTAAATATAAAATTGAATGCTCCAAAATTATACAAACCATACACATTTATAAATGCTTGAAAATATGATCAATTGAAGGGCTTTTTAGTGTTGGAATAACTTTTTTTAGGGATTTTTTAGGTAAATCACCACTAATTATGAAATTTAAAGCTGCAAAATGATATAGAAAAAGTGTATACATATTTGAAAGTATGATGTTAGAACAACCTCGTTTTAGTGCGTTTTCGAAAGGAGTTCAAGTTGGATTCGGAATTCTTTTTTATGGATAATTAGAGTAATTTTTTCCTGATTCCGCCACAGGCAAACTCCACCCACAAAAATTTAAATGTGGTGACTCCATACAACATTCAAAAATTTAAATGTGGTAACTCCATACAACATTAAAAAAATAATAAAAATGTGGTGATTCTATGCAACATTAAAAAAAAAATAAAAAATGTGGTGACTTCATACACTCATAAAATTTGCAACCTTGTAATGTAGAACTACTGATGCACCTAAAAAATCAAGATGTATGGCCATGAAAAATAAAAATATTTTAAGTTGCATTTTACAACATATTATCTACACCATCCATTTTCAAAAATTTCATCTGTTTATAGATCTACTTGCTTTTAACCATTTTTTAAATTTAAAATTGTACAATTAGATATAAAAATAGATTTTGAGATAATCCTAAGAACATTTTACATCAAAATTATATACCATGATAAAATTTGAAGGAGCACCTTACCCCTATAGCTACGGATGCATCCGTATGCCAACTTCACCCTTATCCAAATGGTGTTTTTGAATAATTAATAGAAGGAAAGTTAATATAGAGCCGAGGCTCTAAACAATTAAATTAAAGCCTACCTCAAAAATTTCACTAGAAGAGGTTGTTTTGATGCTCAAATATCCTCAAATTGATCATCTCGACATCAAGTTGCATGGACATGAGAAAAAAAATGGATTTCAAGTTTTGAAAATAGTGTATTTTGTAATGCATTTTTGGACGGTCAATTTTCAAGATTTTCAAGTTTTTATGGATATGTCGATCTACACTATTTTTGAAGCTTTAAATTTTATAAATAAAGATAAAAACATATTTTAAGGCCATCACAAAGATTTCCACTATTGAAATTACATTTCTCACCACTATTTGAAGGTAGGCTCCAATTTGATTGTTTAGAGCCCTAAGCTCTATACAAACCACACCCATTAATAGAATACCACTAGTTTCTCATAAAAATATAAATTCTACCTCTTACACAAAAAAATATCCTCATTTGAAAAGTTTTTTTATTAAAGCAAGGAGATTATCAAATAAAGGTTGAGTAACCCCCGCCCCAATCTCTCTCTTCACCATGAATCTACATGTGAATCTCCCTCCCTCTAACCCCACCATAAGATAACCCAAAAATGCACAAATCGAGTAGTCATGGTAACATCCACCGCAAAAGGGGCTTTAAAATAAAAAATGGGTTGAATAAAAATTAAATGCTCAGATGATTTTGAGTTGTTGAGAAATTTGGAAAATGAAACAGTAGCAGCAAGATACAATTAACAACTGCCCTAAAAAACTATGGCATGGGGCCCGAGAGCCGGGCTGGGCAGGGCCAGGGCCATGACAGGCCCTCATTTTTCTTTACCTTTTCTTTTTTTGGGTTGGGTCTGGGCCAGGGCTGGCCACCAGGGGGGAATCCTAAAAATTTGCCCAATACTCTAAAAAGCAGTGGCTTAGCCTACCTAGATTTCTATAGTCAATCCTTAAAAGCCCTTCTTCCTCTTATCTTCAATGCCTTCTCCCATATCTCATTTCTGAAACTTATTTCACCAGTAATCCCAACACGAGCATGACCAATCCCTGACTATCTCCCTCCTGATTTTCGTTGAAATGAACCTAGAAGAAGTATACGACTATCCCCACAAATCCTAACACTGTTGACCACTCTAATAAGGGTCGCCCTGATCATAGAAAGCAGTGGCCAGCCTGTTACTATGAACAGCAATGTGGCTCTTCAAACTCATCTTCCTCATATTCCAAATCATGAAGAGCCGAATTGAATCTCCAAATCTAACCTGTTCTCTCTCTCCCGCCAAAGCCTCCAATTTCACGTAGATCAAATCAAATTCGGCATAAGGTATTAACCCACTAAAGAGTGCAACTTGAACAAATGATCAGCAGCTATCACACCCATGGGGGTGTCCTCACATACGACACAAGCACTCGAAAGAGCACCCAAAAATCGATTGTTAGGCTCTAATGGCATCCTTGTCTCCAAAGAATGGCATCCTTGTCTCCAAAGATGCAAGGTGTTCTGAAGGCAAAAACAGAAGGCTTTTCATTTGCAGGGTTCATGGTGAAGAGATAAGAATGAGAGGGTGTTCCTGGGAGGTTTCGTTTTGAAAGCTCTTTTGACTTTGCTTTTGAAGCATGTTGGTATGAAGTAAAAGAAATGTAGGGAGAGAAAAAAAGGTAGGTTGGGACGTTTGCGTCTGGTTTTAAAGGGTAAACAGGTCCACAGGCTTTCTATAAACCATGCGGTAGTGAAATTACAGGGGAGGGAGGGGGTACGGGCAAATTTCCCCTAAAAAATAATACTTTGTCATGCAGTATGATCCAACCAAACAAGCCTTAATTTTACTTTCTAGCAACTGCGTTCATTCAATGAGCATGCCAATGTAGCGTCATGGTACTTGTGATTTCGGGGATGGCAGCAAAGTAGAAACCCTTGGTAAATGTGATTGTGAGTAGAAACTCTTTTCTCTCTCCATCTCTCATCATCTTTTAATAACCATCAGAACATGCATCACATATTATTCTTAAGGGTGCCTATATCTGTTTCGATAAACATGATAACTTAACTAGTGACTATTTAAAGATTTGCATATGGCATGACAAGAATCAGTGTTAAGTGAAACACCCAAGTGTTATAGTGCATCCAGCGAGCTCAGGCTTCAGCTTTGGATGGATTCATCTACTTTTCCTGTTGCAGAGGCATAGCTTACGCTGCTGTCCCTCATGCTCTTGCACTGGCTGGATTGTTCATATCGAATGAAACTTATCTTCACCTTTGTGGAGCAATTCCTCAACATCTATGATTTAACATACACCACAAACATATATATCAACAAGAGAGAGAGATAGAGAGAGAGAACAATATAGTTATCCACCCAAAAAATTGAAGCTGATAAACTATTATAGCAGACAAGTTCCTAAACCTTTGTGCATGTGTGTGAGATACATTTTACCTAATCAAAACTAAAAAATCTGATAAACATGAAAGCATAAATGTAAAGAAAAGGCTTGGATACATACATGAAGGAAGACACTAATAGGATGGCGTCCACAAATGGTGTTATCATATTCCAACAGATACTGTTTAAATGCATCAGCATCACCAGTCTCAATAATGTCCATACCCATCCGATCCAATGCCTCTATTGACTTGTAGATGGCCCCATATTTCTTATCATAATAACAGTAGTTGAATCTAACAAAGAAACCAACAATTAATGAATATTAACATTTCGAATACTTCATATTCAAGTATTCTATGGCCATAGTAAAACATTGGCTTAGGGGAATGAGAAAACATCATGGGGATATCAACATTACAGGGTGATGTAAAGCATGAATGAAGAACCACTCGGCAGCTTTTACTCCAATATAGAGAATTCCATGTCAAAAAGATGGTCAGTAGCACAAGGCCAATCATTAACTCTCACGGCAGGAACATGGATGTATTGAATGTAAAGACAATAAATTTTGAAGAGAACATCTCGAAGGGAACTTTCACGTGCATATCACAAACAGCTAAAAAGGGGCACTAGGTGAAAAAACCATAGAAGTTTAGTGTGTGAGAGAGAGAGAGCGAGAGAGTTTTATACCGTGAACCCCAATGGCAAAAGTCTGATGAGACACTAAAGAAATTCTTCGGATCGTCAACATACTTCGCGAGCATATACCCATAAATGGCTTCATTTTCGGTACTGAGGGCGCCCACCAAAATGGGTACAATTTTAACTGGCCGACTGCCAGAACAAAAACAGAAATCGTTCTTTATGAACAAGAGGTGGATAAAAGGAAATTCTTTTCTTTAGTTCTTAGTTCATTGATAGACGTAATAACTTCTGAAAATAAAGAGATTACCCATGAAATACTTTGGCAAGATAAGGTAAATGCATCTCCATGCTATGTTCTGCTTCATCTACATGAAGATCCATGAGTTCAAATTTTCCTGTCGCCTTTAGCTCTTCATTGACTGGAACCAGGTCAGGTCCAATACACTCAAATTAAACATCAATAAAGTTCGTTTCTAACAGCATGAAACAAAAACTCAAAGATCTTCATTGACTGGAACCAGGTCAGGTCCAATACACTCAAATTAAACATCAATAAAGTTGGTTTCTAACAGCATGAAACAAAAACTCAAAGAAAAAGACGTCCCTGGAAGCTCTAATTTCACTTGTCAGTTGAAACCTCATATATACAGAAATTCAAACTAGAAACCATAAAATGCCCATTTCAGATACACATAGAACACGAGAAATTAGCATTTTTACCTTCCAAATCAATTGGCAGTTCTCCAAGAGGTGTCTTGTAAACTGTGGCCCTTGAAAGAGCGCATTTTGGGGTGTAATAATGGTGAGATGGACCAAGAAGGAATACCCGGGATCTGAAAAATTACAACTTGAATAAAAAATGCTACAACTAAATACACAGCCATTTAACAGTTGAAACACTATTAAGCACTCACAAATAATATCTCCACAGAATATAGCACTCCACAATTCAAGATTTCTATCAGGATGAACCTAGAAAGCAATTCATCCGCACCCCACCACCCCCCCCCCTCCCCCCAACATCTTTTAATGTGCTTGAAATGATAAGTGTGAGTATATTAACCTTGAAAATAACATAGGTAAGTCATCAACCTCTTTAACACTCTCATTAATCATTCATACATGATACACCCACCATAGTCCAGCATATAACTTCCATGTCCAAAGACACGACTTAACGGCAACTAAACTTAGTTCATAACTTTTATCTGTTTGCCTAGAGAGTCAAGTCATCATGTTCAAGTTGTTAACAAGAGCTTAATCACTTATCCACTCACTAATCCTTGAGGTAGGTTTTAACCATAAAGGAATCAAAGCATAATATTTGCGTAGTGGCTTCCTATATATATATATATATATATATATATAATAAAG